GGTACGTGCAGGTAGGCCCCGCTTAAGTCTAGCAGGGCTAGCCAGTCAAAACGGTGGATGGAGAGAAGAACCCTGAATGGTGTCTCCATGTGGAACCGATCGAGGAGCACGTACTGATTCAGTCTGCCTAGGTTCAAAACTGGACGCCTGCCACTTGTAGATTTGGTACTACGAACACATTTGGGTAGAAGCCTGGACTTAGTTCCTGCTGATGTACCCTGTGTATGGCGTCTTTCCCCAGCAAACTGCTACTTCCTGTCTGATTGCTTCCGCCTTGCGGGAGTCCTCTGGCAGTGCCCAGTAGGGGAGACACTGACGGGGGAAATGAAGATTTCAGCGGTATTCCGTAAACGGATGTCACCACCTGGAAAGGTCCAGGGATCGGTCACCCGCCGTCTCCAAGACTACACCTGCGCAATCTGTGTATGACAGGGAAATGTGGCCATGTGTTCGGCAGTTGCGAGGGGGGAGGGGTTCCCTTCCCCCATGAGGTGAGTTCCCCAAGGCCTGAAGTAGTCACTAAGTTGTGACCTGGCCACTCACCGAACACTTGCCTGTTCCCCCCCCCCCCCTGGTTGCAGAGGTGAGCGTCAAACATGCTTCTCCTGCTGCCGGGTAGACGTCAACCCAGAGAGGGTGAGGAGCCACCTGGCTCTTACCTCCCTGGGGGCGCGCCACTACCCTTCCCTCCCATGGAAGGGTATAAGCGCTTGCCTCCTGGCTGACTGGCTAGCGAACGACGCCCTAGGGCGTTGTGTTTCCTGTGTTTGGGGTGCCCTCCGCTTGCCCATGGCAGGACCAACTGGCTAGCGGATTAGATCTGAACCCTCTGGTTCATTGCACTCCGAAGCTCAGAGACTGTACCCACCATTCCCGGAACAAAGAGGGTGGAGGATGTCCAGTCTGCGTCACTGAGGTGGGGATGTACCCCGGCTCAGCTTGTCGGCGAAAACATGTGCGTCTAAGGCCACGTCTCGTAGCACAGTAGAGGCCCTGGCCAAGTGAGCCAGGCGACAATAGGGGGTGTCGCATGTAGATGTGCGGTGTCCCACCAGTAAAAATGTCGCCTGGTCTAGGAGGCTGGTGCGTTCTGCCTCCAAGGTCTCCAGAGTGCTGGGCACGCATAATAATGCGCTCACGCAACTCTGCCCTCAGGGCTGGATGGGTCGTCTTCAATTGGCAAAGACACCCATGGAACGCGGCTATCCCCCTTTGCCCAGTTTGCCAAATTCGTGATACCGGGGGGGTCTGGGGAAGGAGCCTTGGAATCCGGTTGGGGGTGTTTTGGTCTCATCCCACGCTATGGGGTCTGATCCCGAAACCACACCGACCGGGTAGCGTTTGGTCCAGTGGGAAGGTGTTGCCTAATGTTATCCCCACCCGGGGGCCTTAAGCATTACATCCTCCGCGGCTGACCAATGCCGCCCATCAACACCGTTTTGCTCTGCGCCCCACTCCGCACTCAGACGGACAGGGAGAGACGTGCCGACGGGGTTGCTTTGGATCCCGGCGCCCGTGATCCCATAAGCGTTAAAGCAACCTTAGGTGGTCGTTTTAGAATCAAGGGTGGGGATATATACATCGTATCACTGCAATCAATGATACTCCGCCTCACCCTAAAAGCGTGGCTCACCGAGTCACCGAGAGGGAAGACTCTGGGAGACCGCCCGGAGTACCGGCTGTATCCGACGCGAGCGAACTGCGTCTCCTTTCACTTTAAATATGTGAGAGGGAGCGTGTTCGACTGTGCGTTTCATGACAGGGTCGGTTCCCTCTGGGGACGCCCATGGATCGGTAAGAAAGGAGTCAAAACCCACAGCGGGGACCGGACACAAGGATAAATTCGTTACCGTTGTACCGTTACCGCGTGACGAACCCTAGCTGGCTGTAAGTGGGGGGGTCAACGTGTGCCCTGCCCTGAAAGCCCTGCCCCGTGATCGGAGACTTGGCTGCCAGCACCCTGTTGGAATTCAGTGCCCGAGACTCCAGAGAAGGCCCGGTGCTATTAGCCTGAGCCTTGGTCTCCCCCAAAAATAGTGGGAGAGCCGCGGCTGGGAACGGGGGTTCCCCGGAAGAGACGTGTTTGAATGCAAACATGCTTTCGTGTCTCCTACTGCTTGCCCACCGAGGGGACACAGTGGAGACAGCTCGCTCCGACTGCGTCTGATCTACACGGCCAGCCAGGGACGCAATTGCCCCGACAGTCCTTCAACCAAGCCCTCAACTCGGAGGCAAATCCGGTGCCGTGTGAGGAAGGGTCCACAAAGAGACCCGCAACGAGTCCCATAGGAGGAAAGCCTCCAGGGGCACAGCTTCGCTGCAGCTGGTAAAATCAAGTAAAACACCGCCTGAAAAAACAGACTGTGAGGATACCCTCCGATCAGCGGGGAAGACTGAGAAAAATATCGGTACCTCCACCGTCTGACCTCTTACTCGACGTCCCGGTACACGAAATACCGGTAGCCGAGCGTGAGGACTTTCCACTTATGCAAAACACGCAACTCACTTTAACCGATTAGTTTACTGGACGCGCGACCTTGCTGTGACGCGGTCAGTCTCAGCAATTTTGATGGCTTTGAAAGAAAATCTCAGACCTCAGAACTCCAGTGAAAAAAAAACACTTTCACGCAAAAACCCCGAACCCCGCACGTAGCTACGACAAAATATCTCGAATGTGGGTTCTATGCTAGTAAATTCTGAATATAACCACTGCACGTTCGACTCGAAACACGCGGAGACCGGAAAAAAAATGGCAGCGAGCCCTGGTGCTGTCATTACATCTATATATTGCTAAATACATTGTAAATAAAAGACGACATGCATGAGGGAAACGAATTACAGTTGTAAAAGGTGCCGCCATGAAAACCTGGTTATGTAGTGGCACCGAGTTTTAATTTCTTTGTTGTGAAAAATACTACACACAAAGGGGAAAACGACACAAGGGTAAAAATGACAAGGAAAACTTATCCTACCAGCTACAATGTCAGATGTCGTGCAGCGGCAACAACCCAAGCTATAAACCCCAACAGGAAAAAAAGCAGGCGATCCAGCAGAGCCTGCTAGATTTCATCTCCACTCGAGGCGGAAAAAAAATCAGAGTGATGGACGGCTACCTGTGGCGCTGCCAGGTGGCCTCGGTCACTTGGGTTTGTGACGTAAGGGGTAAAAGGTCATGAGGTCATGGGGCTTCCCCTGACCTGGATTCTATCTCTTCGTCACTGGCAGAATTGCTGATTAATGCCTACAGTTCAAAATAGTCATTTTGACTGACCGGAGTCTATGGTGGGTAATTGAACGTAGTGAATTGAACTGAATACAGAGAATGACTAAAATGCATGCGAGACTAAGGATTTCCGATGGGTGGACTCGCCATTTGGCAAAGTTCAGCAAACTGCTTAGCCAAGACACACATTCGCAGAGGATTAGGCTGATTGACACCTCTAAACAATAGCATTGCCAATCTGTTTATTAGTTGTCTGAGGGTGTAGCTAAAGAATGGTTTATGCAGGTTTTAATGCCTACCATGTTAGGGTGGGTACACAATCTAATTAGCGGTAATAAAAAATACGATATACATGTATCTTTGAATGAACCATACAATTGCTGGAATAAAAAAAGCATCTTTGCTGTGAAAAGCATACTAATTTTAAAATACTAACTTTCTAAGCCACGTACAGCTTACCTCTGGCACAATATCTGAAATACAGCTTTGCTATTAGACAGCAGCACCTACTTAGTCATTGACTTTTTTTTTTTTTACAGCTATTATGTGTTCATTGGGTTTTTGTTTTTATATCCAGTTTATAGTTTTTTTGTTGGTGTTTCATTTTACTTTATTATATATTTCCGTTACTAACTTCAATTTAGTCTGTTTTTGGTTGACTTTAAACTATTAGCCATTGTAATTGGATTAATTTTTATCTGTAATTTTTGTTCAGTAGGTTGTTATGAGTTAATAAATTGTTGTTAGAATTGTAAAGAGGTTAATTATTCACTGGGTTTTAATTTTACATATTTCGCTGACTGGAAAATGCGCTAAAATAAAACCCAATGAATATGTAAAATTTAGCATAGAACACATTATCTCAATGATAAAACTGTGAATTTAAAACCTACAGAATATGCCTGAAATCAGCAAAAATTAAACCCAGTGAAAATAAGTCATTTTACAGTACCTTCTTTGCACACAGCAGCTAGATCAGCCCCTACATAGCCATGAGCAGATTCGGCTATGCTATCAATGTCCAAGTCTGTCAAGTCATGTGGCATGTGAAGTAACAGCTTCTGTAAAATCTGTAAGGGATAACTACAGTACAGTCTGGATGTAACTTTAATTCCAAGCTGCCTATCAGCTGGGTTTTTTTTTTTTTTAAAAACGTTATAATTTTTAAAATTAGTATCATTGTCAATAATTTCAACTTATTCATTGTAGTATTTACCTATGTTACTAATTTGAGACATTTTCAGGCATATTATTCTGTACAATTTAGATATATGTTTTATTTTAAAAACAAGCTAACTTTAGCTGAAAGCAAGGTAAATGTTAAGTTACACTAAATATCATACTGTAAATATCAAAACACAAAGTGAATACATAGCTGAGATGATTTTCTTTCATGGATGCAATTATCAGCCAATCTATTTACATGATACTAATAGAGCAAATATTTCTCTATTACTAGTATTTATTTTTCCTTATTTGTCAAAAATGACATTTAAATCAAAACAAAACAAAACAAGCGACATATTTTGTATTCGGCTGAAATTTGGATGCATCAAATTTGTTATGTTTAGCTTTTCGTGAGTATTTTCAATGCCATTTTAGAATTTACCTAAATAAAATCCAAATATGAAACAACTCTTCCATTGTTCAGCTAAGACTAGGTTTTGTATTAATGTGATATTATGCTCAATCAACAATCCTTAAACAGTGTGTTAATAATATTCAAAACCTGCAGTAGACTCAGTTCCATTTAGTATATTCTACCATAATAACACAGATGCCAAAAGATATGCATTTACACACACCCACAGTATTTAGTATACTTACATCTTTCCTATCTTTCATATTAGGTATTGATATTTCAATATCTCTATCAAACCTACCCGGTCTTCTTAATGCTGTATCAATGGAATCTGGTCTATTGGTTGCTCCTAATACTATGACATGTCCAGTGGAATTACCCTGCCAACAAAAATACAATGCTTAGCTCTTTTATCAATTATTCTTGGGGCGAGTAAAATTTATTGAGGTAGCTTAAGTTTCATGGGATGTGTAGTTTACTTCCTCATCTTGCTCTGCGATATCACCATCATGCTCTGTGATATCACCAACTTGCTCAGTTATATCACCAACTTTGATCAGCGATATCGCCAACTTTGATCAGTGATATCACCAACTTTGATCAG